GGCTTTTGTCCCATGGTCAAAAGCAGCAAATGGGACAAAACCAGAACTGGGCAGAAGGTTTAGATCAACAGAGATGTGCATCTGAACAGATGACTTCTGCACGATCGTGAGATCCAGGGGATCATGTATGAACCACCCAATGGCCGCAAAGCAAGCACTGCTGCTTTCAACTTCATCCTTTAAGTTGGGTGAGTCTGTCATCTACTGACAATAATGCAGGAGAGGGGGCAGGACCAAAACATTTGGACAACAAAGGACAAAGAACTATTGCTTCAAAATAAATACCACGGTAATGATTACTCCAGATAATATCCATGTACAGTTACAAATATAAATATAAATTTCATTGGAGGGATTACAAGCAACAATCACTGGTAACTAGAGAGAGCTATCAAGTCTAGTTAGTAAAATAACTTGTTATAAACAGAAGCTCCGGTATCTCTCAAGCCCACTGGTATTTCTCTCCCCTTTGCAATGAGTGACCATCAGAGAGGGGATAGGCAAAGCCCATCTCTAGGAAAGCAAGACAAATGTTTCCAAACTGGAAACAACCCAAAGCCAAAGGTAAACCCGACAGCAAAGCTGTCCCTGCCACCTTGCAGCTACCACGCTGGGAGAAAAGACGACTCTGTCTCCCTAAAACAAGCATTCTGAAGTTGATCCCCCCGAGGCAGGAGCCCTTGGATTGCAGTGCGTTGACCTCAGAGCCCTTGCAGGGACTCTGATAAGCTCCAGAGTCAGAACTGGGTAGAAGTCTACAAACAACCTAGAATAGAAAGGCACCACTCAAGGATCCCAGAGGAAATATTCTGAGATCAAAGATTGGCAACGTATGGCCTGTGGGCCAGATCCAGCCTGCAAAGTGCCTGGATAGGGCCTGCAGCATAACTGGAGACCTGAGTGCTCTGGGCAGCAGTGGCACAAGGGGCAGTGTCAGCTGCTGGGCTGGCAGCCAGCTGTTGCTTTTTTGCTCCCCTGCTTCCCTGGCCGATTGCATGTGGCTTTTGCCCTGGTCTCCCCCCTTGGATATACTACTGGATGCAGCCTGTGGCACGGGGGGGCAGCTCAGTTTAACGCATCTCTCCTTTGTCCCACCCAGTGCCATAATCCCCCCTCCCTCCCACCCCACAGTGACCATTTCTGCCACTTCCCTTGCCCTCTACAGCATGTGCCGCTCATTGTTGCTGCCAAGTTCGTTTCCCAGTGCCACTGGGGACAGGAGTCAGTGGCACATGGCTGACATGGGGCTGCAGCAGCCTGTGGCAGCAGTCAGGTCACAAGCAGCAGCCCATCCCTAAAAGACTGCTGACCAGCCCTGGATGGTTTGCATAGTTTCATAGTCTCTAGGGTCGGAAGGGACCTGAGAAGATCATCTAGTCCGACCCCCTGCCATGGCAGGAAAGAGTACTGGGGTTAAACGACCCCAGCAAGGTGTTCTTCTAACCTCTTCTTAAAAACCCCCAGGGTAGGAGCCTGCACCACCTCCCCTGGAAGTTGGTTCCAGACCCTAGCCGCCCTGACCGTGAAATAGCGCCTTCTGATGTCTAACCTAAACCTACCCTCTGCTAGCTTGTGACCGTTGTTCCTGGTCACTCCTGGCTGTGCTCGGGGGAGCAGTGATTCCCCCAGTGCCTTCTGATCCCCCCTGACCAGTTTGTAACAGGCCACAAGATCCCCCCTCAGCCTTCTCTTGTGGAGGCTGAACAGGTTCAGGTCCCGTAGTCTCTCCTCATAGGGCCTGCCCTGCAGTCCCCTGATCATGCGAGTGGCCCTCCTCTGGACCCTCTCTATGCTGTCCACATCCCTCCTGAAGTGCGGCGCCCAGAACTGAACCAGGTCTCTGGAAAGGGGAGGGAGGCCAAGAGCTTAATTTTCCTTTAAGGGACCTAGTGCTGATGATAGCCAGAGGAACAAGCAGCACCTTGAAGGGAGAGAGTGGCTGCACAGGACAGCTGGGACTGCACTGGGGCATATACAGACTGCACTGCTGCAGTTACTCCAGGCAGTACCTCAAGGGCTCTAGAGGCTTCCTGCTCCACCTTGCACTGATGGGGAAAGGGCAGCCGCAACACTAACTGCAGTCTCCTGCCCTCTATTCTTGAACCAAACAGTTTGTTGTTTAGCTCCAGAGAGAAACTGGCTTGCACGGGCTGCAGAGGCTGCCAGCCTGTCCCCAGGAGAAAAGGAAGCTTTGCCTTGGGACAGGACAGCAGCTGGGTAGCGCTGACTGGTCTGGAAGTGCTTGAGATGGGAGAGGTCACTCAGGGGTCTCCCCTGGCCTAGGCAGGTATCTGGCAGGTGCCTGGCCCAGGGACAGCGACCTCCAGGACAGCTCCTCAAATGCAGGAGGCAACACTGGCTGGTGGCTGGAACCAAGAACTGGTAGGCAAGAGACCCTAGTGCTAATCCCAAAGCTACAACAGGCTGACAGGGAGTTTCAGCCTCTCTATGCTTGTTCTTCTCATGGCAAACAGGAGATAGCACTTTCCTTCCTGCCTCAGGCTGGCACATGTGTTGGCCAGCCTGACCTCCACATATGGAGGCTGCTCATGATAGACTAGGCATTAGCAGGCACTGCCAGAAGAACCCGTCCTCTCCCTGGGGAGGCACTGGGCAGGCTTCTGCATCTTAAACAAATATTTTACATTTAACAGGGTCCCATGGAAGTCATGTGGGCCCTATCCACACAGGGGATTCTTCCCTCTCCGCTCTCTTGTGCAGAGGCAATGATGGCTTGAATAGTCCAGGGCAAGGTGTACACCAGGAGAAGCACGTCCTGGCGGTGGCACCTTTCTACAGGGGAGACGAAACAAAAGTCAGCCAACTGGAGACAGGGAGGGAGGGGGACTCTGGGATTAGGGCTCCCATCTGCAGGGGTCCAAGTAGCCCCAGCTCAGGGACATGGAACAGAGCGCCCATCTCTAATGACAATGAGAGGCCAAGATAATGAGGAGACTCTTTGCATCTCCCTCTCCCAGACTTCAAGCACTAAATAGTGCTGAAGGTGGTGCTAGGAAACAGCACAGCTTACACTGTGTAGCTTGATGTTTTTTTTTTAAAAAAAGGCTGCCTCTTACAGCAGCTTGCCCCCAGCCTGTCGTTAAACGAGGAGATAAATATTGATGCAGGCTGCTGTGTGTATACACTAGTAAGGGCCTGCCAGGCCAGTTGCTTTCAGAGACTGAATTTAGTTTAAAGACATTTATTTACCTGCTAGGCAGGAATGCAGCCGCTGGCATTTCCACTGCACTGTGGGGACACAGCTGGGATGTGGTCTGCTCTTGCACACTGAAGAGACGTGGCAAAAATCTCTGCTGAGAAGCAGCTGGTGCAGATGGGTGCAGCCATGTTAGAAGTCTGAGAGAAGACCTCTGAGCAGCAGGGGAAGCAGCAATTAAAATATTAACCAGCAGAGCCATTCTGAATTTACTAGAATCTCAGGGCTGGGCTGTGACCTGCTGCCTTCCACTGTCACCTATGTCTGGGAATCTGAAAGCTGAAGTCTAAGAGACAGACGCTGGAAACCCCAACTCCAACTCTCTTCCCAGCCACAGACCCAGTCCAAGGACCTTGTCCCTGCTCAGCACGCTGGCTGAAGTCAGCACCTGGAAAATGTTTTTATAGTGGAAAAGGAGCAGAAAGCCAAACTCACTCCCCTTTGTCTTCATGTGGGCACTGTTTGGCAAAAAAGTAATCTGCATTCTGGGGAGCCTCATAAACAATATGAATCAGGCTTTCTTCTGTTTTCCTTCATGCACAAACACCCCCAAGAAGGTTTCCAGTTTGCTCTGGGCTCTGGCAACAGTGGAGGTGGAAGGATGAAACATTCTGGGTATTTTGCGGCAGGCAGCTGTGTATACCTCCTCCAAGGAGTAACTGGAATGATGCTGCTCCTGGTGCCAGCAAAGGAGACACCCAAAAAGTTTCAGGAATGTACAGCTTCTGCTTTTCTTTACATTGAACCATTTGTCGATTAGACTCAAACTCTCATGCTCAGGTCAACTTACCCTACAGGAGCCCAGCCCCTGACACTGAGGAGGGTTCTGCACTGGTGGCAGCCCAAGGGCCACAAAGGCTGTGAATATACAGAGTACTGGGGTCTGCTGGGAGCAGAACAGAAATGGCTGGTAAAATCAGGCAAGCACTAAGCATGACACTGCCTCAGGTCAAATTTATTCTCATGCTGGGGTTACAGAGAGAGAGAGAGAGACCAGGGGGCAGAGGCCAAGAGGCTGCAGGCTGCACTTGGCAGAACCTGCTCCAGCATAAATGGAGTTCACCTGCCAGCCCCTCATCCCTGCTATCACTGGCACTCTTCCCAGGCAGAGCCTGCAGCCATGCCCAGGACTGTCAGACTTTTACCCCTTGTGGAGTTCTCAGATGATTTAATTTTTCTCTTGGAGAACTGTCTCCTTGCCAAGTCCAATGAGCATGGAGGTGTTAGGGAAGTCGTTCCCAGGAGGGCAACATGCTGCTAGTGCAGTGGGACATTAAGGCTGGAGGCAGCATTAACCTCTAGCTATGGCACAGTAAGCAAAACACATTGCTTTTTATTACTGTAACTTGAAAGAAAGCTCCTCAGCCACCTCTTCGCAAGAAGCAACTCAGCTGGACGCAGGGGCCTGGACTTGGCTTCTTTGTGTAGCTAGGAAATGGTGTTTGTGAAATCCTTGTAACATACAAAACACTCTGAAGTGGTCTAGGGGGTCTGAATTCCCACCCCTGTTCCCACCTCCAGGGACAGCATACTGGTCTCTCATCCTTGGAAAGACTCCTAATAGAGTGAACAAAAGGCAGGAAAATTGACAGAAAAAATAATGCTGAGTGCCCCCAAGGAGCTCCTGCCACCCCACAGGGAGGTGAGGCCTACAGTTCTCAGAGCATCAGAAAGTAGTCGTCATTTGGTTTCTGTTCTGCAGCAGGTCATCTGTAGGAACAAACTCGTACAGGAGTTGTTTCTGAGCTTCTTCTTTTTATTTTAAATTATACATTTCTGTTGGAGAGAGAACATAACAAAGAAAAGTCACTCTCCCATCACAGATTTCTGTACAGCAGCAGTTGAACCCAGCCCTTTCTACTTTAAAATGCCTTTTTGGAACTGAAAGTTGCAAGCACTGAAGGCTCCCAGTGCCAAACCAACATTATCCTAATCCCCAGCAGCGCTGAGGCCAAGGGAAATGGCAAAGTGACTGTTAGAAGCCCCTACTGCAGATTCACTCTGGACCCAGAGGCATGGCTGGGTGTAAAACAACTCAACTCACAAGCCAGATCTAGCCCTCCCCCTGGCCCCCCAGGCCTCACTCTCTCACCATTCTACTGTGGTCACCACTCCCTGACTTCTGTCCCCTTCCCTCAGAGTGGTGCTGGATGTTGTCAGCTCCGGTGCCATCTCAAAGACATCGGCTTCAGAGACATAGGGGTCTGGGTCGTACTCGTAGGAGTAGTAGGACAGGTCCGACTGGATCACGGGGCCTTCCTCTGTGCAAGGGAAACAAATGAAGCTTCAGACTGGCACTCACAGGATGAGCTTTAGCCAAAAGGGGATGGCCCTTGGTAACACTTCTGCTCCGTTGCATGTCAGGCATAGGGTGGGAGGTAAACACAAGAGGAAGCATGTTAATCAGTGGGGAATCCAAATACACTTCAGAAGAGCCAAAGCCCTGGTGCCTCACGAGAAAAGAGGGAGCAGTGTGTGCCAGCAGCTCAGAACAATGGCATGCAGGCAGTTCCAACTCCAGGCCACAAGCAGCAGAGCTGCTTTGCATCAGGATTTTCCATAATTCCTCCTTTGATAGGTAGTAAAATAAAAAAAATAAGGGCCCTAATTTAAAAAAAAAATCTTAAAGATTGTCCATTCAGTTTGTGTGCGTCTCAAGGACCAGGAGTCAGGACTTCTGGGCTCCACACCCAGCCCTCTCTCCTGATTCTGCACTTCACACAGGGCAAGTCACTTCCCCTCGAGCCTTTGTTTCCACATTAGTAAAAAGGGCAGAAGAAAGCTACAACAGCTTAGCGAGGTGCTTTGAGATCACTGTGAAAGTGCAGCTTTAAGCATCATCTTTACCAATGGGTGACAAAAGCCAGATTCCATCGGGGTGAGACATCATCCACCTTCTGCCTGTTTCAAGAGGATCAGTTTTCAGGGCTGCTCTTTCTTCTGGCAATCAGGTCACCAATTTTGGCTTAACAGGAGCAGGAGGAAGTCTCCCAGCCCCTCCCTCAGACAGAAGGCAGGGCAGGGTGGCACCCTCCTGACTGACTGGTTCAGAGAGGCAGGAGCTTTTGTAGGTGACAGCTGACTTTGTCCCACCTGCCCTGCCTTCTGCCTGAGTTCAGACTAGCACAGCAAGCCACCCCTCTCTGGGCAGCCTAATAAGTGTAACTAGGGGGACCTGGGCTCATGGCACCGGATGAGTCTCCACTTCAGCTCAGTCACAAGCTACAGAGCAACTTCCCAAGCATAAAGAAAGGGATGGAGCCATTTGCTTGTGAGAGATCGCTCACTCCATGCAGAACAGGGTGCTGCCCTCTGCTTTGGGGGCACTGGGTCCAGAGTGTATGGAAGACAGTGGGAACATCCTTTGGATACAAACAGCTCCTTTCTGTTGCAGTTTGAACGAAGCTGCCTTTTCCCCCTACTGGCTCCATCTGTGCAACTATTCCAATCCACGCCCAAGCAAACTGTTCTTTCCTTTACTTGCTTTGGGGAGGAAAAGTCTCACTGTAATATTTGCTTTATTTACAGCGAACTCTCTCCAAAGCCTTTGAAAATGTTTGTTCTCCAGAAATAAAAATCCTGAAGGCCCCTTTCCCTGTTGCCTTCCACACCCCTCCAGCAGCAGGTTCAGCCGTATAGCAAGGGACCACTTTCCCGACAGGAGATTCAGTCTCCACATTCACTCCTCCTTGGCCTCCTCTCCAAGGGAACTTGCCAGGCTATAAGGTTGTTCTATGGCTGGATGATTGCCATCCACCAGGGACAGGACCAAGATCACAGACTTCGCTCCTTTGAGGAATGCAACTTTCAACTCCAAATGAAGATGAAAGGTTGGCGTTTCCTGTTACACACAAACCGCACCCTGTCTTCAAATGCTTGTGCCCTGGCCAATATTTGCTGAACACTGAAGGGATGAAAGGAAAAGTGGCCCACTGCCAATCCAATCCATCCTGAGGAGCACTGCTCCTGGAAAGAATGTTACAGCCGGCTGGTGTTGTGGTGTGGCCCTATGGGAGGGAGGGAGGGAGGGAGAGGTGGTAGGTTCAACTCTGAGCTTTGGAGCTGGGCAGGAAGCAGTGCATTCAGCACCTGGGGCACAGAAGGCTTTGGGCTGTTTCACAGAGCATTAGTGTGCTTTGAAAGGACCTGACAATTTAAACAGCAGCCACAAAGGCCGGAGGAATGAGATGCAGCACCAGCAGACTGCAGGGTCATGCCGGACACTTGTGGCCCATTTAGATTTTGCTCCCAACATCCAATTTGGCAGCAGTTTCCCAAGAGGGAAGAGGAGGTGTGGAAGGCAATCCAAATGCAAATGCTGCTCCCAGTTCCCACCCCAATGAATCTCTGCAGCCTCTCCAACATATGGGTTTTCTCCAGCACTGCCGAAACCTCAAAGGGACAGAGACAACCTTCCCATTCACAGCATCAGCCTGAAAACACACTCCTCTAAAACAAATGTGATACGGACCCCAGGCCCCTCAAGTCTCCATCACCAGCCCCAGAGATTGGAACAGCTACTGTCAAAGATGTGGCACAGCCCCCAGGTTTCTCAGAGCTACATACTACTAACCTAGGGTCATGCACCCCAGGCCTTATTAGGAGATGACCCTGCTCACTGCCATTCCTGCGAGTAATGGTACTCACTGCAGCCGTCCTCCTGCATCGAACAGGGCTGTGCTTGCAGGAGTGAACCCAGCTGCACTGCACAGCCCCACACTCTGCTTGGTAAGGGGAGCTGTCTCGCTGTTTCCACCGCAGTTGTCTAACACAGCCAAGGGCCGACAATGAAAGCATCCATCAGACCAAACAGAACCCACGCAAGTCAGAGCAAATTCACAGGGACTGCAGACAATATAACCACCACAAGACTCTGTGAGAAAAAGGCACTTCCTAGAGATTAACACATTGAGTCCATTCACCCCATCTCTCCCCTCTACCCTAAACTTGACTTGGCTCCTGGAGTTTTTCACCCTTTTAGGAAATCACAGCTTTAGATATGGCTTATCTGAGCTTTCACTAGCAACTCAGAGCACCTGAACTGACTCAAACCAATCACATGCTTTGAAGCTAACGAGCCAATGAGACCTGATGGGACCCGTGCGTAAGAAGGGATTCACTGACTTGTTAAACTTGGATTCCTTTACCATGTGGATGCCTTGAGAAGAGTCCAGAGGATTAGGGAGAATCACATGCTGTGCACTCCTCCTGAGGCAGGATTTAGCCAATTTGATTGAAAAAAAATGTTCATTATTAGGGCTGCTCAGGCAGCTCAGCATGGAAGAGCATCTGCTAGCCTGGAGGTTGCCTGCTTCTTACTGCTGTTGGATGACAAAGTACTAGGAGACCCTATGATCCAATTGTTCAGGGGACTGATTCATGACATCCAAAGTAAGAAACCCAACACATTAAAGCTAAAAGTGTCTGTCAATCCCATCTCTACTGCCATAGTTAGCAGAGCATATGGCTGTCCATACTTATATTTCAGAGGGTTTTCCTTAGGTGACTGTTTTGAAGGATTCAGATACAAATCAAAGCCAGAGATTCAAAGCAAGACAGGTTTACACATAGCTTAAAAGAATACAAAAGTCTCGATTGCAAGGAGTTGATTTATACACCCACAACACGCTGAGCGATGGTGAGCAGAACACACGCCGAAACAGTCCAAAGACCCCAAAGAGGGGCCACCCAAAGAAACAAACAAAACAACACCTACCATCTCAAGATCTACTCATCAGCTTCTGCGGAGTCAGCAAGGGTAGGAAACCAGAAAGGGGATCACAGGATGTCAGCAAGTTGGTCAGAGAACAGGGAAGAGGGAGAGCAACACAGCTGCTGCCTGCTTGCCTCTGGCTGCCCGCTGCCAGAGACTGCTCCCCCTGAAGAGGGATTTGTTTTGCTGATTTCTTGGGAGAGCTGGAGGCCATGGGAGAATTAATGAGGGGAAAGCAGCCAGGAAGAATCCAGTCTCATTTTATTTACTAGAAAAGGTGCGAAACAAACTACCCTATTGACCCCCTTACTGCTTCCTGGTGAGATTTATTGTAACCCATTTTGTATTGCAAACCTGACTCACGAATCTTGAAAAAAAATTCCCATAAAGTGCACATAAAATGAGCGGCCAGATTCCCTGCTTCATTCAAATCAAAGCAGTGGTTCCTTCCTCAGCTCTTTTACCTTTCATTCACTTGGGCCCTTCACTCCAGGCAGACTCAGCCAGGATCAGAGCAGCCATCTCAAGAACTGTACATCACATCTAAGGGTAGACTCCATTCAGCTCAAGTTTTCTAGTTCATCCAGAAGGAGTTAGTTGTCACTTATTTGCTAAGACACCCTGCACCTATCTGATCTCCAAGGGGAAATTCCCCAGTCAGTGCCAGCCCTGCTCCTCAGTGATAGCCGCTGAAGAGAAACCCCCAGAAACCTAGACTTGGAAGTCAACTGCCCCTCCCTACAAGCATCTTGATGCCACTTAGAACTGCAAGTTGCACAGCTGTACTTCTTGAACAATTCAAAGCAAGTACTTCAGTCCCTCTGCTCAAATCTGTTTCAAACTTGTATACAGTTTTGAGAGTCACCAGCTTGAACCTTCTCAGAGAAAAAGGGTCTTGGGTAAATCTAAAGACATCATTACCTGCTTGCGTTTGCTGAACACTGGGCTGGTCAACTGTGCGGAAAGGATTCTCCCTCTCTTCTGGTAAACTCTTGGCTGCAAAAACAGGATAGTTGCCACAGCGTGGGTTAAAGAACCTTTACAAAACCTTTCATCCAGTGTGGTCCAATGCACTGCCACATTGCTTGCAATGAAAATACACTGAGAGTACACTAGGGGCCACATCTCACCGGGTTCATTTATATCCAAGACATTACTCTGGAGAGAGACAAATGTTACCACTGAAATTCTTACATTTCATTCTTAAGAGCTACGAGCCCAATTGTGATCTCTCAGCAAAGTGAGCAGCTAACTGCTCCTGACAAATGCATTGCCCAGATCACAGCTCATGAGCTGCCGCACAGGCTACCCCCTTTTGCTTTTGTAGACTGTAGTTTGAATCCTGTACTTGTCCAAGTCACATGCACTACTTTGGCTAACACAACAAAAAAGGAAACTATAAGCAACTTACAGGCAGAACACTGAGACACAGGAATTTGTTCTATCCTTGTATTATTCCTGCAGGATGCTACCTCCATCTGGCAATGGTTCTGATACATCAGCCCGTCAGACCCACACACTGGCTCCCCGTCATAGCCACAGTCTCTAGAGCACATACACTGCTCAAAATATTCATCTTCCAGGCAGCCGAAAATGTTGTTGCATGGCCCAGAGTGAACAAAACCTGAAAGGGCAGTGGGAACATCAGAAGCAGATGGAAAAAAGGATATTTTTATTGTTTTCTTCTTATGTTTCATACACATTTTTGTAAGAATTCCCTACCACTCTTAAAATAGGAGCTTAAGAAGTTGTGGGAACAGAACTGCGTTTCTGAAATAAGCCACAATGAAGCCGACTCCAACTCTGAACGGTACAACTTTCCCTCCCTAGCTTAGGCAACACAAGATATAAGAAAGTCGCTTGTCTCTGGAAAAGGTTATTGTCATGGCAGACAGTGAAACTTATCTGTCTTTCTACACAACGCCCAATGACGTGGTGGAACTCTCAAACTATTATTGAGGCTGAGAATTTAACAAGATAAAAAAGAAAGACTTAACATCTATGCAAAGCAGCAATCCCCTTTGGGTAGATTATTCCACAATTATACTTTGCACCTCTCCTCTGCAGTATCCAGAACTAATCACCATCAGTGACAGAAGACCAAGCTAATTGTGTCACTGATTTGATGGTGTCGCAGACTTCTGTAGGCTGCCACCCTGGTAGTCTCAAGACTCTGATATAAAGCCCATACTGAAACAGTCAATTTTGGGTCCCAATCCCTGAATCACACTTCTCTGGAGTCCTTTCCAAAAACAGCCAGTTTGGCTTTGCTGTGACTTACCAACCCACTGACTAGCTGAACTTTCCACCTCATTGCATGTTGGCCCATCACACAGCTCACGAGCAAGGGGGCTGTTTTCGCTCACATTGTAGAAACGAGTTGCTTCAAATGCTACAGAGAAGCAAGAATGACAAATTATTCAGAACCACAAAGACAGGGTTCTGGATTAGCAAGATCCAAAGGAAAGCAGCCTACCTGGCTCATAGTAATCATACACTTTGATGGGGACAGGGGCTGTTTTCCCAACTATATACTCTCTGAAGGCTTGAAACTTTACACAGGTCATGCACTGGCTAGGAATCTGTATGAAGGACATAAGAGTGCTAGTTTAGCATACACCACAGCTCTGTAAATCAGCAGAGTAAATTGGCTACTCTACACCATTCATTACTTAATATTGTGCAACAGATACCTGCACTAACAACAGTGCCTTCCAGGATTTAAGCTGCTTCCAAAGAATGCTAAAAAAAGGGCCCAGCTAACTCAGTAGAATACACAGGGCTCAGCTGGACCCTTAGGGCACATCTGCACTGGGGACAGGATGAAAGCAAAACAAAGGCACATGAAACCCATGCCATACTCTCTGGGCTTGCATATCGGCCTCATCCATAAATTATTCTGCAAATGAGACTTGATGAGTGATTCCATCACTGTTGAGCTAGAAGAGGTGACAGAAGAGGTGCCAGTTCCTTCTCCTAGATATGTGCTAGCCCTGCACAGCCAGCACATCTGCCTCAGAATGCACATCACACAGGGATCTCTTGAGTAAAGGACCATTTTCTCCTAGTACTTTGATACTCCTAGTACTTGGTGAGTCAGGATCAGACCATCTTGCAGCTAAGGCTAGGTAACAACAAGTATCAGCCCAGCACTTGGAGCCAAGAGAACAGGGTTCTGTTCTGAGCTCCTGTGTGATCAGGAGGAAGCTACCTGCATTCTTTGTGCACACATGTCTTTCCTAGAAGTATGCCCAACACCTAGAAGTCCCACACTGGCTCTTGAAGCCTGGCAATTAACATCCACAGAGAGCCTCATGTGCAACATTTCAGTTCATTTAAGCCTGTCCAACAATCCAGTTGCCTCTTGCTCTTATCCTCACATTCAAAATCAAGAAAACTATAGAAAACAAAGTTATTACCTCATCAAAATAAAAGAGAACTTTTCTTCCATCAACTTCATATCTTTTTAATCCAATTTGCTTGTTCATTAATAACTGGAAAGAAATGAACAGGTTCAGCTTCATCTCATTTTTGCAGTCATCAAAAAGCAAAGATTTCTAAAGGCTTAGAAAAAGGCGGCTTAAATCCTAAAGAAAACTCATCTCTGCTGGGAAATGACCTTTGAGGATGAAGAATTGAAGGTGGCAGAACAAGGGTCAAAGACCCTTCCAGACAAATGAGGAGGAAATTAAGTTTGTGCTTCTTTGCTGCACAAGCCACTGTCTGCGGTGTGGAATGTCCTGAGAAACATAGTGCTATGGTTTGCTTCCCAGCCCCAAGGGGCGCGCTTATCCCTTTGGAACTTGTTGGACATCTCATCCACAATCTAATTGAGTAGTGCCCAGATTATTTTCAGTCCCAAAATTCAATCAAGACCCCAGAGACCCCAAAACACTTGCTAGATTGAAGCTTCTTGTTTACACTCCTGCATTCCACCAGGGAACTATCCTGCTGGATAATACTGAGCATTAAAGGCACCCCTCTCCCACTGCTGCCAGCTCAAAAACCCAAAACATTGTTCTGCCAAGAAAATTAATCCCTGCATTTGAAAAGAGCAGCCACTTGAAAGAGCCCTCAGCATCCTCCTTTTCGGAAAATGGGGTCAAGCCAAGCCCCACAACTTGCATTTCCTCTCTGGAACAACAAAAACATAGTATATGCTGTGCCAGCTATGCACAACTACATGCTTTCCACACATTCATCACATACCACAACAATCCATACACACCAGGGGCTTCAGAGCAAGACCTACATGTCCGCCCCATACTGACTGCTGGTTTTGTGAAATCTAGCCCATTGCCCTGGGGAAAATTCCCTGTGCCACATCACCTGGGCTGACTTCCTGTGTCACGTAAAAGGAAGGACTTGTCCTTAAGGGCAATGGTCAAGAGGATTTAGTAGAAAAATAACTTGTCTATTGTCTTACTGAACCATTCATCAGGAACAGCTCTAGGAAGGAACTAATGAGCCAGTATGCTAGAGCAAGGTATGAGAACAGTGATTCTCAGCCAGGGTGGCACAGCACCCTGGAGTGCCTTGAGATCCTTTCAAGGGTGCTGCAGGGTGCCATGCAACGTTAGTACTACTAGATGTGCAAATAAGATTTACAAGATAAACTGAGAGATTTCAGTTTCAATAGAGAATTGCTTTATTATTTTTCTGTAGTCAAAAAAGAAGTGAAAACCAAGAACTGGCATTTTCTGAGGGATGCTTGGAGTCTAATGAGGGGTGCCTTGAGGCTGAGAAATCCTGACAAGTCACAATGCTCAGGGTTTATTCTCACCTCTGCTCCACTTATGTGATTTGACCTATTTGTAGTATCATTCCATTTGTGCTTTGGGATCACAGGATTACTGCCGCAGGAGAAGGGAGGGCAAGGTGTTTAATTCTTTTAGGAGGTACAATGTGGGGCTAAAACATATACATTGACATTCACCGAAACCTGCTACCAGCAACTTTTAGCTGTGAATTTCTTCAGTGTGCTGCTCACAGCTGTAAAACCCTGTACACAGCCTCCTGCTATTACTATAACAAGCAAAGGAGCATGTGTTTAAATCCCACACAATGTGGAAAGGGCCAATTTAATTTGTTCTTATAATTTTAGAAGCCTGGTGGTGGTGGTTATTACTCTGCAGTGGATGGCTGCAGACAGCCATTTTACGAGGGCTCAGAGAGCCTGGCGCCACCGGGAAATGCTCTGCTCAGCTAAAGTTGCATTTTTCTAGTGAAGCTTGATGTATACCAGCCTGCGGTGACCTCCTGACCTTGTCGACACCCAGCATTATTAGGAGGATTTGTGGTTGCACAGGCAGGGGGCTGCCGTCAGCGGGCAACAGAGTCTTCATTAACCATCCTCGTCCCTGGAGCCGCACGCGAATCCTTCTGTGCACAGTACTCCCTTGTGAGGGCAAGCAACAAGCAAGGAAACCTGATTTATAACTCAGGCCACCCCCTCCCCAACATAGGGAAAAAGGACAGGACAGCAAGGAAATGCAGCAGTGTGAACACCAGGGCTTGGCTCTCTAGTAATCGAGCCGCTTAACCTGAGGCACCACTGGAGTGATCTGTCTAAAGGGGTGGCTTCGTTTTTGAAGGCAGATGTCTGCAATTGCTCCTCCAAGTGCTCGTACATTTGCGACCTGCATCTGTGGTTCATTTTTGTAGGTGCCAATTGTGCTTGCAGAATAGAAGTCTGGGCCTCAGCCCTTCACAAATAAGGATATCTCCAGAGCAGAGCTGTATGGCTCCCATTATCACCAAGGGAAAGGACTTGGCTGTGGCCCTGCAGACCCACTCAGCACTGAACCACAATGGAGCAGCCTTGTTCTGGGGGATGGAGGGAGGGCTCTGGCTGTAGAATATGCAGCCCGGTGGACTCTGGACCAGCTCCTGAGTACCCGTGAACCACAGCAGGAAGTGTGCAAACTCACTGTACAAGTAGACTTGCTGAGAGAGATAGTACAGATAGTGCTCAGCAACAGAAAAAGGGTAAGCTGTGCCTAACATTGTGCTGGGCAAAATTCAATGACTTCTAGACTTCTAGATTGGTGCGCATCCAGCTGGGTCATTGCTGCCTGTCAGTTCTGCCGCTACTCAGAACGAGTGAAGTTCACCTCTGAAAACAGGGCCAGAGGAAACCACCAGTTCTTGTGGACTTCTGGGGTGAATAGGTGTGGTGCATGCTGACCTTCTGCACTGAAGTGAAACTGCTTTGTGCCACAGCTCTTTGCTCTAAGTAGGCCTGAAATAAGGTTGTCCACTTTAAAACCCTTTAATGGGCTGTAGATGCCTGTGGAATAAGCCATAATTCTATCCGTTCACATATTAGACAGCTATCTGGCTGGCACAAACACATAAGCCTCACCAGATCACAACTCCCTGCAGTCCCCAGAACATGTCAGCATCAAAACCCACAGAAAAGTCCTGTCCTAAAAGCACACACTAATGTTGTGGTTTGAGGCCTAGCACAGAGCCTATTCACCCAGCACCAGCTGAGCCAGGCCCAGAGCTAGCTGGTGAAGGTGCTAAGAGCACCCACTGCTCTGACCACATCTGCCCATTTTAGGAATATAAGGAGCCCCTGACACCTCTGCCTCAGAATGCTTTACACCCTTTTTTCAGTTGCCCTGCCCAGTAACACATTCCACATATTTAGTGCCACTGAGAGATTCTAACAGAGGAGAGCACCTATCTTTCTTCTTGTGTTTGACCCTTCACCAATGTAGACAATTATCTTTGCTGACAATCAATTCCCTCCCTATTTTGGAAACCTCAGAGGCAGGTCTTCTCCACTGAGAATGAGCCTAACAGTTCCCTGACATCTTGTATCATCTCCATTTGTCTGTAAGCCTCCTCTCAGTGGTAAGTCTCCCCTTTCCTGCCGAACAGCAGGAGCTCATCTTTTCACTGCTGTCATCAATCCTTCTGGCTCACAGATCAGAAGTCGTGAAAGCAACCCAAAGCCAGTTTTCCATTCATGTCATTTTGCATCTGCTTATATGAATCAGCATTCAGAAAGATTTTGTGCTAAAGCAACATAAATAAGAGTCACTACAGCACTTCAGGAAACGATGCAAATGTAAACCAGGCCCAGCAGAGGTCCTGCATTGGACTTCCTCCCTATTCTCTTCACAGTGGTAGAGGGGACTTGCATTTTTGATATTTCCTCATACTAACACTCACATTCCCATGAGCTATGGACAGCAAGCACAGCACTCGCTCATGCTCTGCAATCTGTGGAAATGGGCAGGGACAGAGAACACGGACTCCAAGGATCTTCTGAATTTGGGGCAGTTTCTTCTGCACTTCCTACTCTGTTAGGCATTTGTAATTGTGCCACTAGTCAAAGGGGACAGGGAATTTTGTGATCGGTAGGGTAAGTGAAAGAGGACATCCTTTTCAAATATACACACTGTAATGTAACAACCAGGGTTAAATTTTAGTCTCAGATACTAGTGCATGTATCATTTGCTTCATTGGCTCAGACTGTGGGACTCTAAGAGGCACATACTGGCCGTATCCTCACATGGGGTAACTGTATTCTCATTCGAGTTAGTTCATTCAAGGTAAAATACTTGTGAAGACAAGAGAGTCTGTAGTCTTCACAGGTATCAGTAAAGTCAAGTTAAGCTGCCTTGTCTTCACAATGACTTTCCCGAGAGTTAGCTGACTTGAGGTAAATGCACATCTTTTTCTCCCTGCATTATGAACCAAGGCTCTTAAAAGAAGAGGTTTGCTGGGCACAGCAAGTCCAGATTACCTCTTGGCCGACTGTCAGCGATGGCACGCTAGTTCCTTTTCTCTCTCCAGTGTCCCTAAGAATTTTATCTGTAATATCAAAGTCAGTGCAGACACTATATATACTGCTGCAAAGCCTAAAGAGAAGCTGAAGGTTGCAGTTCATCCCCCCTAGAGGGCTGGCCGGGTAAGAGGCACATTCTGTCCACCTCAGTTTGGCTTGCAATAAACACGATGTTCTCCCAGAAAAAAAAAAGGCAAAAAATTCCAAGACACACAGCCTCCAATGAAATCGAATCCAGATGTTGGAGATAATACAGCCCACTAAGAAGCCATAAACAGCTCCTGTTAGACCACATTTTCACTTCAGCATTTCCAAATGGGTCTCATTTAATTACTGTGAGCTGTACACAGCAATAACCTTTATTTGGCTGTGTTAGGTAAATTTGTTAATCTTACTTAGAACATCTGTTTACCCTTTTCAAATACATATGTTTTGACAAGTGAAATTTCCCTGTCCCCAATTTTGATTGCATCTTTTCAGACAATCTTCTAACAAATGATGGACGGCATTTACCTCCTGGGCTCTTCAGAGGGAATCCCTGCTAACAACAGAGCAAAGGCTGGCCCCAAACTGCAGCATGCTCTACACTCATTGAAAAATCTTACCTGCTCCAGACTCTCCATATCTGCCCGGAACCCCGAGAACAAGGGCACCTCCAGGACGGCCATGTTTGAGGATCCAGAGTGCAGCCACCTTCCCCAGGGGCATGAGAGAGAGAACAAGTTTAGGATCCAAGTTAACCTTCCATGGCACAGGTGAGAGGGAGCACAGCTAAGACACAAGCATTCAAAGGAAAGTTATGCACAGGATCCAAGCGAGGATGCAAGTCCCAATTTAAGGACCTCTTGAAAGCCAGTCTCTTCAGCTTTATAAGTGCTCCTTTCTGCTTTCACTAGGCAAAAGCTAAGCAGAGTCCACAGAAAACAGACATGTAGGCAAAGGTAAAGGGAGGTGGAGGCAACAGAGGAGGAGGGGGAATGCAGTCTTCCATGACATGGTGAGACTAATTACTGGACTCATTAGTAGGGAGATGAGAGGGAAATGGTCCCTAGGGGGAGAAGGTGGCTGCTGCTTCCCCATAGTGGCTGTCTGGTACAAAAGAAATAGTGCCTGTATTGGTGGCTTTAGCCTGCACATGCCATGGAACACGTCACAGAGCTAGCTCAGCTGCCCTGCATCTCTATACAGCCAAACAACATGCCCTTAGACACTAGGGCCTACTCTGATGCCTTCTGCCAACTGTAGCATCCTCTCACCAGCTGTGGCCTTCTCAAGGTGCACTTTGTGCTCTCCTGCCTGACACAGCTGCAGCAGCAGAGCCACCAAGAGCCACTGATGTGCATAAACAGCTGGCTTGGCACTAGTAGCTGCTGTCAGCTGTCAGAAACACTGGTGGCAGAATCATACATGTACAGACAAAGCCTTCAACCCAAACAAACTCCTGGGTGACTGTGGCTTTTTCTGTTCCAGCAGCGCACATTCTTTTCTCTAGGTTCATACAGTCTTTCTCCCTTGCCCAAAGAGAACACCTGACTCCTTCAAATGAACAATTTCCCTCTTCTGCAAAGTCACCCAGGCTTTCAGGCATTCGGCTTACTACCTATAGATATGCTGGCTCTAAGTTCTGCAGGAGGAGAGGTCTAAGAAGTTAAACAACATCTTCACTTGGAGAGAAGGGGAAGGACAGCTCTCACTTGCTTTTCTTTCTTTGCAGGGCTTCAATCTCCTCAGATTGGGCTTCTTCTCAAATTTCTGTCCTTGCTCTAGAAAGACCCATGGCAGAAGTTTAGAAGACAAGAGCCAAAATGTTGTGTTGATGCAGGGTGCCCTCCTGAGAGGCATCTTCAAGGGATGGACAGAACCTTATGAACCTGCCCCTCTGAGACGCGTGTGCTTTCTGTGTCTAAGAACCCGACACCCAGATAATTATGCAGATATATCTAGATCAGTGCAAACCCCTCTCATGTGGATGTGGTACACAGGTAGGTGCACAGTGGTGCTGGCACTGGGGCAACTTAATCTGGTAACATACCAGTGCCGTGGCAAAGGTGCTAATTTCTTTAACTGAGCCTGAAAAATGTTGTCTCTGCCACTCACCTCCTGCCACAGCTTGGACACTGTCAAGAAGGCAAAGTGGCAGAAGGAATGAAACCTGAGCCATGAACTAGACCAAGGTCCTTTGGCTGTATACAAGTGAACACACAGTTTTCAAGGTCTCTAACAAACTGCTGCAGGGGAGGAGCCATGTTGAGTTGTTGGCCCTTCCCCTGCTTTTATTGCTAGAGGTGAGGAATCACCCAGGCCTGAGAAACGCAAACCTGTGTGAGGCCAGACCTGAGGACTCCACAGGCCTTTGCCCTTCAAAGGCACCCAGGCTACTGGCAGTGCAGCCAAGAGAGAGTGGGAAAAAGAAGCGCTCACAGAAGTAACAAAGGCAACAGGGTCCCATCTTTGCCTGAAGCCACTCAAGCAGTTTTAGTTCATTTGGCGGGGAGGAGGTGGCCACAAGCAGGGAAGTATAGGGCTTATCATCTTCCATGGCCAGCTCTGAGCCACTGCTCCCTGGGCCTGGCAGCTGCTTGGTGTTAGGGCTGACAGTTCTGTGGCCTCTACTGCCTAGCACATGGCAGGCTGCAGGACACTGAAGTGCAAGGTCCAGGATCACAGTCAGGGGAGCCAGGTCCTACTCCGGTCCCCACCACTCAGTGCAGGATGAAGGACAAACTGCTTCCTCTGCCCATGCCCCAGTTTCCTCATCTAGAAAACAGGGATAAAGGTGGAAGCCCTCATACAAAACACTGGGGCTGAAAAAAAATCACTGAGCTTTGGTATCAAGCCAGATTGCTTTTTCCAATTAATTTTTAAATTTTTTTTAATAAGAAACAAGCAGATAAACAACGGGCTCTGGGGAACACGTCAACTAAATAACCTCAAAGGCTGCACCATTACCATAGCAACTACACAGCCATTCCGGGAATGAGATTCCAAACGGATACCCTAGCAACCAGCATCTTTTGTTAGGGTTTTGGTATCCAAAACTCAATGAATGAGCCTAAGCAACTCAAACAAACATTAAATTAAAGTTGAGTCAATAATATTTATAGAACCATGGCCATGTTTAGTATAGAATTACCTAATTGGGATTACCTAACTCCTTTAGGTTTCTAAAGAATCTCTCACTAATTTAGCCCTGGAAAATGTTCTCAAACTTTTCCTTTTTCACCTGATGTAACTGAGAAGGTTAATTTGTTTTCTTCAGGTTTTGGATGAGACAAAGACATAAAGTCTTAGCCAGAGCTGGTAGATCCAAAATATCACTACCTTTCCATGCAGCAACTTGTAAACTCCTTGTGCAAGGCTTTCCCTCTCACAACATGCTTCACAGCTAAAAAGATTAATCCAGCAGCCAAAACACTTGTGCACGACCACGTGCAGTCCAAAAGCATGGTTGTAGTTCTTACAGGCATGCTCAAGTGGGTTATACATCAGCCACCTCCAGTACAGGGTAGCAGCATAGCTGCACAAGGCCACCAAGCACACTAAGTACTTAGTGGAAGATGTCTGTATTGCTGCACTTGCATGGCTGTTTCTGTAAACATCAATTGTTTTTTATACTGTCCATTAGGGCAGGCTGTGCCCACCCCTGTGGGTCTGTCTGAGCTGTGGTGCAAAGGAGTGAGCGTAGCCTGTATAGCTTAAAGCTGGATCGGGTTTATCTACACAGGCTGCACTCACTGCTTTGAACTGCAGGGCAGAGCCTGAGGTGGGCACAGTCTGCTTTCCCAGAGAGGGCAAAAAGACAAGTCAGCATGCATGTATGCTGCAGAGAAAGGAGTTTAGGGGAGAAAGCACAATTTCAGCTCCAAAGGAGCAAAGTGAGAGGAAAGACCATTTTAAAAACAGGTGAAAAACTTCAGAACTCTGACCCACTGCAACCATTTAGATTATATAGCGACCTGATCCATAATAAAATTCTTTCTGTGGATCTCCACCTCTGACTCTTGACATTTACTACACACTAACATGTATCTAGTCAGAAATATTTCATCTGTTATCCCAACTTCATCACCTAAACACAGTGAGTGAGACCTACTGGCCAGAGCAAATAAGCCCTGGTCTGCCTCACCTCATCTAATGCACAGATAATACAGGAAGAAACACATTAGCATGTGCCCCTTATTTATACGTTATAGCCCCACTAAACATGTACACACACATATAGGGAAGGGCTGCAATTTTCATTAGAAAAACACCTGCAAGCCATCTGCAATGGCTAACAAAACTAGCCAGCCTATCAGACCCACACACACTGAAGGAATAAAGGGCTTCTTACCTAGTGCATGTCTCTAGGATCACTTTGTACTCCTGGTGATCCTGATCAGAAGCTGGGTCATCGTCATCCACCAAAGCCCGTTCCCTGTGGGAGGATTCAGAGCGATTCTCCTCTGGAGAGAGAGGCTGCAGGGGGTGCTGAGCTTGCTGGTGACGTTCTGACTTGGGCTCTTTCAGGTTAACCAGGAGCTGAAAAGCTGGTTTAGCAACGGGGTCAGGTACATTGTATGTGACATCAATCTATAGTAGAAAAGGGGAAAATGGAGGATTGGTGTTAGCACCACTGGTTACAAAATGAAAGAAAGAAAGAAAGAAAGAAAGAAAGAAAGAAAGAAAGAAAGAAAGAAAGAAAGAAAGAAAGAAAGAAAGAAAGAAAGAAAAAGCATTATTTAGACTTGGCAGCATCACTAGATAACTCCTTGGGAAGACAAGAGCAGGGACCAGATGCTCAGAGAAAGACATGTGCAAACACGAGGGCAAGGAAGGCTTCACAGATATTTGAGCAGAGGGAAAACCTCACACTGGTTTTGCTCTGGTGCAACTGTGTTAACTCCCATGGAGTTGAACCAATGACAGATTGTGCCCAGTAACTGGGAGTAGGTGGGAGAGAAAGGCCCTGGTATAACATTAAAATATGAGCATAAATGATTTGCAGATTCCTATATTATGAATAAAATATGTAAATACTTTCAGGATAACTAAACAGGAGGAAACTGTTAGTACTTGTCAAGCAAAAAGAACATAGAGCCAATTTTGTTGACAAGCTTTTAAAATTAAAGTTCAGTATCACTTTTTCAGCCTCTTTAACTGGTACTTACAAAACATATACAAGTGTTCAGTGCACATGACTATATGGGGCTGGCACAAGGCCAACGGATATATGATGAAAGAGGCTCATTGAAGAGGGACAGGATCTTCAAGACACGAAGGCCAGAGCTTGTCACCTTCCAAGGATGACATTTTGGCTGTCATTTGCATGCAGTCCTGACTATGATTCTCTAACTCCCGTGCCACTGGAATGACAGAATTCAGTACTAACTTTAAAGACACATTTTTGTGGGGCACCTGGAGCAATTTACTAGCTGGATCTTGCCCTCAGCCATCCCACTTCTCACAAGGACATTCCACCTGCCAAGCATATACTAACGTGGATGTTACCCAGTATCAGGCCTGCGGGCTGCTCTGGAAAGAAGCAGAACTTTTCTTTGGATGCAGAAGTATATTTTTTGCAGTAGTAACAAGGTGAATTTCTGCAAGGGATTAATGTTTGTGGGTATCAGAACTGTGAGATGGGGAAGCCTCCAGTCCTATCCAGCACATCCCCCTCCAATGCAAAACTGACTAGTGCACATTGCTCAGTCTAAAAAATCCCAAGTGATGGGAATAATGCCAAGGAGACCCTCTTAAATGGCTATTCCTCAGCCCAAGGAAGCTTCCCTGACATTCGGTTTAAATATTCACTTTCTAATATTTCCCTGATGAATTCTAGTTACACCTAACGTATCAACCTCCTTCAGATATTTTGGAAGCTGATAAAGCAAAAACTTAGGAGATAAGAGAATTCATCTGGGAAAAATCTAAAAGGCAATTCCTCCCAACACCAGTGAGTTTTTTTGTAGAAAGAGACTGGACTTAAAGGAATAGCTCACAAATTGTCTTATCTGTTCAAAGGTCACCTTCCAAGCAGCTTTACACAGTCTGCAGTGCCCTTACCTGCATCAGACAGCAGCCTTCACCCTTGGCACTCACAAACAGCCCTGTGGGAATGCTGGGGATCTGGGGAGTAGGCACAGAAGAATTCACAGGTAAGACATGGGGAAAACACAACTACGAAGTGTGGAAATTAACCCCATTCAGTTTCATTTTTATCCTCTGCATGAGAAAGCTTTTAAAACAGCACCTATAAACTAGAATGATAAGCAAAAAGAGCTAAATCTTTCTCGGTTCCTGTATTTAATACAAGTAGCAGATTATAGGAGTCCCAAACCAAACATCAGGAATCAATTATGACAGAGTGTTCTCATCACTGTAAGTATTTGCCAGTTCTCCTATTAGGCTCAAGTGGAAGAACCCAGAAAGTCCTGAGGTTTCAAAATGTCCAGCCCATTTCTTCCCCCTTCCCTGACACAATCTGAGTTACGGTGCAGAATTCAATATCAGGTTGCTTGGGGAAACTGGTAAATATTAAAACAAGAAAAATGGCATTTGCACAAGTGCTCACTCACCACAGCTGTCTGAAGGACTTTCTTATTCATCTTGTTAAGCTCAAATGTCTCTTGATAGTCTAAATTAGTGGAAGCCAGGGAAATGGTAAGGTTTACTCCTCCAACATAAGAAAGAATGGCATATTCAGCCAGAGCCTGCAGGGCTACACATGTATCCTAGGGTTGAAGGAGAGGTCAGAGTCAGTGAAGAACCAACTTAGGGATTAGCAGCAGGTTACACAGTTGGCAGCTTCTGGCAGCAGCAGTTTATTCCTCACTTGTTCAATAGTAAATGGATCTTTTCACTCTGGTTTCCTTTTCCCTGAAACCCTTGGTGTGAAAAAGACAGTTCACTCCATGCTGCTCACCCCAGAGGTGGCAGAGCATTGTAAGGTGATCTATCTCCCAGAATACAGCATAATTTCCAAATAGCTTCATAGATGTAGGGTCAGAGGGGACCTGAGCACATCAACAAGTCTGACCCCCTGCCCTGGGCAGAAATGAATACTGGGCTCATATGACCCTAGCTAGGTAGTTCCAGAGAGAAACCCAACACTGACCAATTTACACTGGAATCTGCAACTGTGCTGAAGTTGCACAACCTTATGGCAACTCACCTGAGTGGATGAGAATCCTCCCAAGGCATTTCTCTGCTGCGACAGCCATTTAACCACTGGAAGTGCAGAGGCCACATCTCCTAAGAGTGTATATGTCAGCAGTGCATAGGCTGTCATTTCCACCTCTGCAGACACAACTGAAAGGGAAAACAGTCAATCCCCCAGCTAGAGCTGGAAACCTGGGCTGGAAATCAGGAAGCACCTTTCTGCAAATTCACAAGCTAAAAAATTCTTTAGGGTCTGGAGAGGCCAAGACAAGAAAGGAAAAACGAAGTGGTGATAAACCTCTGCACCCAGACTGAATGCAACATTTTCTGAACATACCTCATGAGTTAGCTTCCAGTTAAATCTCTTCCCTGGCTCGTGACCAGGATGCAACCCCTCCTGCTCCACTTCAAGCTCTGTGCAATTTTCTCCTGCCCCTTTTTGTCTAACATGCCACCTGAATAATATAATCAACTTTTGCCTCTTGGAGCTTTTCATACAAAATCCTGGTCTTTGTTGTCCCAGCCAATTGACTCTGTCACATACTTTTACGCATTTACATATTTATAGTCTGGGGTTATTAAGGCCAGGGATACTCAAAGAGCCCCTTCAGGTATTAGATGTCCCATTCCTATCAACTATGAATATAAGCTGGACCCTTAACTCTCAGGTTCCTTTAAAAATTCTAAACCAAAGAGCTGTTACTGTACAATTAAGTATATTTGACTTCCCACAACATATGGCTTTTGCCTGACAGGATCTCCTGAGACTTCACACTCTCTTTCACGTGATTCACCTTTACATCTCCCCAGTCCCTACATGCCTGGCCACTCATTTCTCCCAGTTCACAGTTCCTACTGCCGCCTTCTTTCTGGCTTTTCATCCTGGAGCCTTTCCTTAACTATCCATCATTCTTCAAAGTGCCTCCCTAAAACATACTTCCTTTATGGGACCAAAATTGCCTTGGCTTCCCCTCCTTCCCAATGAAGCATTTACAAAACAAATGTGAGGATAATGTGGTGGACACCAAAGTCCATCCCAAACCATAGAACTAAAAAATGCTTGCATACTGTCCCTGCGGTTGCTGCCCTTTCATTACAACTCATATCCTTTTCTTTGCCCTCCCAATGTGAAATCTTTGGGTTAGGGACTTTGCATTCACCCCTATCTAGAAAGCACCTCCTGCACTACTGGTACTGTAAAAAACAACAGAGAACAATCCTAGCTTTTCATCAACTGAGTTACAAGCAGGGGTACCTGACTGAGAAAGCCCGTCGTTAAATCCCATGAACGTATCTTCATCAGTAGCCAGAGTTCCCATTAAACTCCAGTGTGTAAAACCATCTAGAAGGATAAAAGAGTAAAGATATTACAGCTTGCTTGGAGCAGTGCCCCTGGATGGGAGGAGAATCAAAATTTATTTTACCATTTATTTAATCTAAAGGCAAGCCATGTCCTGGGTAACACCACTTCTCTATTTAGACAGCAACCTCCTCAGTGCAGGGACTGCTCATTCCTCTGTGTTGCACACCATGATCACCAGTGCTGGTGCTCAGCAACAATGTGTGAGGATAGATTAGTGGCCAGGTGCTGGTGGGGCTAATGCTCAAGGATTGCTGGATTTTGAATTACGATGAGCCATCAGAAAATTGGATGTGCTACTCAGCTGATTAGATCCTTGGGCACTGACAGTAAAGCAGCAGGGGTCATAGAGTACCACTGCAAAGCCTCTGGCACAATTACACTACTCTCAGCAAAGCCACTCACATCAACACACTCTTGACAGTAGAATTGAGCCCATGCCTGGAGCTTAAGGACTCTGTCCCTTCTCCTGAGAATCTGGAGAGCTACTCCCAGTTCTCCTGTAAGATCTGTCCTCCCCAGGCTGATACTGCAAGTCACATAAGCTTGTTGGCAAGGGCTGTTAACTTAGTGCCTGGATTGGCTGGACCTGTATTGGGTACATGGCCTGAGAAGTCCCAAGCCTACTATAAAGAACTACAAGAAGATCCTACTCCCCTTTTCACCATGAAACTCAACAAAACTGTCAAATCATTTCCATCAGGACTACAAGAAAAACTACAGACCCTGATCCCCCCAGCTACCTAACCAGGGGACTCTTTACATGCTCCCTAAAATCCACAAACAAGGGAACCCTGGCAGAGCTATCATCTCCAACCATGGGACCCTAACTGAGGAAATATTAGGTTTCATTGAATCAATCCTAAAACCGCTTGTCACCCACAGAGCATGTTTTGTCCAAGACACTACAGAGTTTCTATGGAAACTTCAAAACATAGACCACCTTCCCAGCAACACGCTCCTAGTCACTGTGGACGTTACCAGCCTATATACCAACATCCCACACCAGGATGGCATCCAAGCCTGCCTTACATATCTACAGGAGCAAGATTACAACTCAGAGTACAGACCCAGAGATATTACTGACCTTATACAGTCCATCCTCACACACAATTTCACTTTTAATAACCAACACTTCCTCCAGATTATGGGCACAGCTATGGGCACCAAAATGGCCCCACAGTATGCCAACCTGTTTATAAGCCAGCTGGAAGAAGCCTTCTTAAGGACTGCACCATCAAACACTTGCTATAGTTAAGATATATCGATGACATTGTCATCATTTGGACTGAAAACCTGCAATCTCGGGTTGAGTTTCATCAGAAATTCACCAATCTCCTTCTGACTTTCTCTTGAACACTCCAGCACCAATATCTCCTTTTTAGACACAATGATCAGTATCCAGAATGATAAAATACAGACCACGTTATACAAGAAACCCACAGACCAACATACATATCTGCACAGAACCAGCAATCACGCTAAATACATGAAAAAAGCTGTGATATACAGCCAAGCCCTCAAATACCACCAAATTTGCACTGAGGAGAACACCCGGGATTGCCACCTCACCAATCTTAAAAAGGGTTTCACTCAACAAGGACACTCCTCCAGAGCGCTAGATCAGACGTTTGGAAGAGCCACCCGGATACCACTTGAAGAACTGCTACAGTATAGAAGAAAACGCCCCCACAAATCACACACTGCTGGTTATAACATATCACCCCTTCCTCGAACCCATACGGAAAATCCTCAACCAACTGCAACCCGTACTAGAAAGAGACCCTACTCTTAAAGAGATCTTCCCAGAGCTACCCATCCTAGCCTTCAAACAAGCACCGAACCTTGCTAACCTCATCACCAGAAGCAAACTTCCTCAGGCCCAGAGCACCCAATGGATCCAGACCATGCCATGACAAGAAATGCAAAACCTGCCAACACATCTCCATCACCCACACAATTTACTACACCCCACAACAGAGCCATCAGCATTCCCGGATCTTACAGCTGCACCTCCAGAAATGTAATATATCCAGTGCACCAAATTCCCCGATGGAAAATACACAGGAGAGACCAAACAACAACTGCACACCAGAATGAATGCACGCTGGAAATCTATCAAAGACAGAAATACTATCCAACGACCTGTGGGGGAACATTTCTCACAAGAAAACCACTCACTTGCCAATCTCTCAGTTCTAATCGTCAAAGGAAACTTACAAAACACTTCCCAGAGACGAGCCTATGAACTCCACTTCATCACCCTACTGGACACAAAAAATCATGGACTAAATATAGACATTGGATTTATGATGCATAAATTTATAACCTGCCTGACATCTGAGTCCCCAAGTACCTCTCCACTATTCGTGCCCCTTCTCCACACCCCCCTGCGCCTGTCTCTCACCTACTGACTCCTCAATCTACATCTCCACTGACTGCCTGTCTTGCATGCAGACCAGTCCTGCCTCTGGCTGCTTTACTTTTCATTCCATCCAGGAAGAGCACACACCAACTGCTGAAACTTCCACAGCCTGACGAAGGGTTTTTGAACCCGAAAGCTTGCTTAAATTTTTTTTTCCAACGATTTAATTTGGTCTAATAAAAGATATCAGATTCACCCAAAGAACCTTGTAAGCCTATAAAAGCTAATTTAGGGACAACTCAGATTGGCACCCAGTTGCATAGTACCTTGCATAATGGCCATGCTGTTCATTTTCCTCAGGGTCACAGAAGCAGAAGGACTGCGCAGCAGAGTCAGGGCGTACGCAGTCAGGGCTGTGGTGTAGGGGTCTTCTGCAGAATATAAGTTGGACTCCAAGAAGTGTTTGGCTTTAGCAACTGCTGCTTTTTCTTCCTATATTAGGTAGGGGGAAACGATCCCAACTGGATTACTAGCTCCTGCATCTCC